ACACACCCACGGAGAAATCAGGTCCGTCCGAGATGAGGAAGGGAGCTCTGCCCGCCGGGAAGGCTGCAGAGACCCAAAACGCAGCGCCTGCCTTCCCAACGGAGCGGCCCACAGAGGTACGGGGGGGTCGAGCACGGCCCCTCTCAGCTCACGGCTGACCGCGCAGCTCGAGCGCTCCTCCCCGGAGATGGCCAGCCTGGCTCTCAACCCCTCCCGGGAACGTCCCCGCGTTCACCTCATCTCCGCGCAGCAACGGCACGGGCTCAACTCCTTCCACCAGCCGCCCCGGGCCTCTCCCCGGGCACCCGGCGGGGATGGAGGCAGCTCTCGGCGCCCAGCACGAGCAGAGGTTAGAGCCGGCCCTGGCAGGGGCCAGGGAGCTCCGTGCCAAACCCTGTCACCTCCCCAAGGACACGGGGGACAACCACCGGGGATGATGCGAGCCACGCGGACCCCGCAGCGAGACACCGACCCACTACACCAGCAGCTCTCCAGGAGCCCACTGGCCCCGGTTGAGACCGCACGCTCTCCTCTTGCTGGCAGTCCCTCCGGTACGTGCGGTGGGGCGGCTCCCGCTATGTGCCGGCGAGCCAGAACCCTCCAGGCGCAACCGCGCGGCGAAATGTGCCGCGTCAGCCGGCTGGGCCGCAGAGGAGAGGGCCACGAGTCCCGCTGCGGGCCAGCCCAGCTACTCCCCCTCCTCCGGAGAGCAACCCAGGGAAAGGGGATACGCAGCCATGGAAGAAACGTTTCGGCTGAACAACACAGGCCGGGAAACGCGGGCAGGTGCCGAAACCCCGGCTCCCCTCCAAGAGAGGGCAAGATGCGGTGCTCAGCCGGCTGGGCCGCAGAGGAGAGGGCCACGAGTCCCGCTGCGGGCCAGCCCAGCTACTCCCCCTCCTCCGGAGAGCAACCCAGGGAAAGGGGATACGCAGCCATGGAAGAAACGTTTCGGCTGAACAACACAGGCCGGGAAACGCGGGCAGGTGCCGAAACCCCGGCTCCCCTCCAAGAGAGGGCAAGATGCGGTGCTGAGCTGGCACGGCCGGCAGAGTCGGGACCGTGGGCTTGTGAGGGATG